TTTGTGACGCATCTGCGTATGGTTTAGGCGCAGTCCTTTTTCACAAGGTAGGATCAGAAGAAAGGCCAATCGCTTTTGCCTCTAGAACGCTCACTAAAACAGAGCAGGCGTACGCCCATATCGAAAAAGAAGCACTGGCTGTCGTGTACGGGTTAAAGAAGTTTCACAAGTACCTTTTTGGGCGAAAATTTGTAATATACTCAGACCATCAGCCCTTGGCGGGATTATTGGGAGAGGATAGGCCGATTCCTGCGATGTCAGCGGCACGCGTGCAGCGATGGGCTCTGCAGATTGCTGCGTATGAGTACAATGGGTTTATCGCAAATCACGCGATATAGGCAATGCAGACGCACTATCGCGCCTGCCGCTTCGGAACTCTGATGACGTGTCGGAGTACATCGGCTTTTCGATGCTAGACGAGCTCCCACTCTCCGCAGAACACATCAGAAGGGAAACGAGAACAGACAGCCTGTTGTCAAAAGTGTTGTTTTACACGCAGAGCGGTTGGCCTTCAAAAGTGTCTGACGATGCACTGGCGCCCTATTTTGTGCGACGCCACGAGCTTTCTGTTGACAGAGAATGTGTGACGTGGGGAAACCGGGTGATAGTACCATTGTCTCTCCGCGACAAAGTGCTATCACTGTTGCACGAGGGCCATCCTGGAATGGCACGTATGAAAATGCTGTCTAGAAGCCACGTATGGTGGCCTCGCCTTACGCCGGATGTTGAGCAAAAAGTTAAAGAATGTGTAACATGCCAGTTGACGCAAAATGCGGCGCCCAAGGTTCCGGTGATGTCATGGGGAGTGGCGGGGCGCCGGTGGGAGCGTGTGCACTTAGATTTTGCGCATCGAGACCAGCATTGGTTCCTAGTACTTATTGATTCGTACTCCAAGTGGGTTGAAGTGTTTCTGATGAGGTCAACTAATAGCGAAAAGACAATAGAGAAATTGCGCACCGTATTTGCCGCGTACGGATTACCGGAAGAAGTGGTAACAGACAATGGGCCCCAATTTACTTCGGAACTTTTCGAGACGTTCATGAGTCGTAATGGCATCCGGCACACTAAATCGCCGCCTTATCACCCGGCATCGAATGGCAGCGCAGAGCGTTGTGTACAGACGTTAAAGAAAAATCTTCTTAAGCAGGTCATGGACGAGCAGAAGAATGGGCGGATGAAGTCTCTCCAGCAGCGGATCGACCAATTCCTATTCAATTATAGGAACACGCCAACAGGTGTTACTGAAGAGACGCCGGCCCAGCTGTTCTTATCGTGGAAACCTAGAACCAGGTTGAGCTTTCTCCATCCAGATATCGAGCAAAGGATGAAAGAAAAGCTAGAGCGAACAAGGCAGGCAGCCAATCGGCGACGTGGAGCTTGGAGAGACTTCGAGGAAGGGGAAGACGTCCTCGTACAAGGACTGCGCCCCGGGGAAGGAGAGTGGTTGAGCGGTAAGGTAAAAAAACGCGAGAGTTTAAGCACTTATGTGATAGGGATAGGGAACGAGGAGAGGTACGTGCATGTTGATCATATGAGACCACGAACATTCCAGGAGTGTTTCCCGCCTTCGGTTCAGGTGCCGTCTGCAAACTACGAACTTCCCGCATGCACCCAAGACGTTGTGCCTCGCAGGTCTTTAGGTGCCCCTGTACCCATCGAGGGCGCACGAGAGACGGCCGACCCCGATCAAGTCGAGGAGCAGGCAGAAGATACAAACAAAGAACCGGTCAACCTACCGGGCCTTTCATCTGCTGGTGGGGACTGCGGCGGGGGCGAGACTCAATCTTCCCCACCGGAACTTCCGGAACTTCGACGCAGCACCCGGCAAAGACGACCGCCGGATCGGTACTAAAAAAAAAAAAAACACTTGGGGGGGGGGAAGGAGTGTTGTGTAATACTACCCAAGATAGAGCGCGTGTCGTATATAAGATAAGATGCACATGGAAGTGTCTGGCTCTCTGACGTCACTGTTAAGTTCTTTGTTAGATATAAGACCGCCGCGGGTGTGCGGTGCGAGTCTTTTTCCGTTGTATTGCTCGTTAAAATAAACATGTGTGTGTTGGCTAGTCGGCTCCCAAGTTGTGAAGACATAACACTCGGCACTCACATTTTGTTCCTCTATCAGTAAAATTTTACCAGCTATACGTCTCAAGAATGAGCACAGCACACAGCAGTCAATTTTCATAAACTTGACCCCACTGGAACATAGAAAGCTGGCTTCATTTGTCGAAAGCTTAAAATATAACACATACTCATGAAATAGTCATGAGTCAGGAATCGCACATTAACTAAAAAGCTTCCTAAAAGGTTTATATTATGCCCAGTGTGAGAATACACCAACTAACTACTTTCAAGTTAATGAATGTTAATAGCAGGAGGGTTTAAATCGACCTTACTGTTATTACACATTGACAAGTATTGAGTACCACAAACAATGGCAACATATCGCAATATCATGTCCTTCTCTTTTCATTTCATTATTACAGTGCACAAGAATTATGGGTTTCAATTGCAGTTAGAGCAACAAAGGGATTGAGCAAGCTTCAATACGATGAAAAAGCACTTTGGCTATGAAACCACTCCAGATAAGTACTTGAACAGCAAACTAAATGTTGCTTTCAAAATTAAACATGACAGCCATCACCGGGCAACAGCCAAGGTCACCACAATGTTAAGAGCTACAGCCAAGGTCACCACAATGTTAAGAGCTATACATTTGTCAGCATGGCTGTCAGATTATATCTCCAACTGTCCTATGTTGTCTGCATCTTGGACAGACTCGAACTAGGCAAGCAGAAAGCCGAATGATATACACTGTTATCATATTTGTTGTATCTACCACTGCACTACTTGCTGCTGTAGATGCGACAACACACTGCCCTGATGCTTCTGAAGAGTTCTGTTACCAATAGAGCGAAGAACTAGATAAAAACCATGCACTAAGTCTGTCATTCTTTTTCGTGCTTCTCTATTGTTTATATCTGCCCAGGAGGTAGCAATTCCGATTCCGACAAGAATAGTGAATTTGGAACAAGTGGTCAACATTACATGAACTACATATTAACTGCACCTGGTTGCATCTCCACTGGGATTGAGGTGTCCACAGTGTGGGTCAACATTTGTGACTGAAGTTGCAGGCATAGTTTGGCCGACCTTAGCCACCAAAGCCAGGTATGCCAAACCCCAGTAAAAGAATATTAAAATTCCTTCCCCAACCTTACAAACCATTCAGTCATACATTCACATTAAAACTACATAATTTGTGCAAGTTTTGCCATGAACTGCAAGCACTTCCATTTTTTTTTCTTGGTTTTACAAATGTCTGCAATACTGTAATGCAGTAAAAATGATATGGTTATGGTGAAGTGATGCAGTTCACATGGCATAAATACAGTATCAAGTATATAGTGATGAACAGTAAAAATTTGGTCTTTATATTCAAAGGGAATACACCCTGCCTGGTTAGTTGTTGTATTCTCATAGGCATGCAATGTTATTTATGCCTATACCTTCACCAAGTTCTAACAAGGAAAGCTAACCTATGGTGCACTTCCAAGATCAAAAGAAAAACTTCATGACCCCCTCTTTCCAACCACTTGTGTGCAGTGCTACAACAGCTTGAATGCCAACTAAAACCCGCCCAAAAATAGAGCAAGAGGCAGGCGACCTCTGTGTGAATTTAAAAAGAAGCACACAATCCTTCCTTCTGTCGATGCCTACATTTCACTATTCAGAATAACTTCAAGGCAGTACTTGTTCCCATTCCAGAGAGCTTAGCATGATGAAAGAAAAGCCATGAAAATAATGTACATTTACTGAAAGTCCAAGAAACTTCTATCTTTTTCACATTTACAGCCTCAAACATTCTGCAAACAATTATTGAGGAGTATAAAAATGCCCTGTATTATCTTCACATGTACCGCTCCATCAGCTGATTTAATGAGGGTAAAAATGTGCGCCAAAGTTGCAAGGTTATGTTCTAAGCACTGTCACTTGCCAAGTACAATGCCTCAGCCTAAAATATAAGAAGGCCACCCAAGTAAAGAAAAATGTGCCTTAGCGAAAAAGTGAGAAAAATGCTGGAAATAAAGCGTACAATAAAAGAGAACAATCGCAGCCAGAAACAGGGTCCGTGCAATTCTTGTGGTGTATATAATAAAATGGCACAGAAGACAATCAAGAAAAACCCAAGTACAACAATTGCTAAACTGCAATTCCTGTCTCCATAACCTGCCTGCATAAGCTCACAAAATTAAAGTTAAAAACTACAGTGATGCTGAACCAAGCAAGTATCTCCAAATTATCCAGTCCCAAGTAAACTATGAAATCAAGCATACATACAGTCCAAGTAAGTCCAACCATAACACAAGTAACAACGCAAAGTTAAAGTTCTCCACAGTCAAAATATACTGTTCTCTAGCAGATAGACAGCCAGAATAGCAAAAAAAAAAACATTTCATGGCATCTTTCTGTTCCCAGATCTTTCTGAATGCCATGAATAGGAATCTTTCCATAACATTACTGTTCAAAACACTCAAAGAAAACATTTGAAACAAATTATGTATACCCTAAGCATACTATTTGCACCTACTCTGTACTGACAAAATAAAATGCCACGGAAAAAAGGACGATCAGTCTTTGCAGAACTAAATACTGGCAGAGTTTTCCACAACTACAACGAGAATATGACACATATAGCAATAGCGGACAGAAGCCCAATTCTGCTGTTTCTTAAGTTTTCTCAACTTCTTGTGCCTTATACAAACTTGTACGTACTACGTACGAAAGATCCATTACATTTAGCCACACGCTAAGTAATGTCAGGCCATAGTAAAAGACTGGTAAATTGTAAAAAAGAGGAATCCCATTTTCCGCAGTTTTTACAGTATCCAACAACACCGACAAATCCAATTCACACTTTAATAGAGAAAGCTAAGGTCACTTCATGTATCATTACCACATCTTAAGGCTCCAAGTTAACATATATTAAGAGTGTTTACTTGCTATGTTTACAATTGCTTTATTTTGGACCAGGATACAATACACTCAGGCTATACTACTGAACAATCAATTCAGGCAAAACAATTAAAGGTCTGACTGTAATCTTCTTAGACATTTAGTTTTTGTTGCAGCAAAGTTTTCACAAGTAGTCTCTCATTGTGTTGGGAAAGCAGAGAAAATGTTTGAATATTAAAGCACAAAAACATTTATGCATAATAAAGCATCTCTTCAAGCAACGTCCCCCATAGCAGTGTAGTGATAAATAAGATACCATTCTATATGTAATGAATATAAGCATTCAATGACATCATTGCCAATTATTCAGACTTTAAAACCATTTTCATGTTTTAGCACCAGAAATGACAACAGGCTATACATATTTTTATAAGCCACTTGCAACAAATGTCTTCAACATTTGCCAACTTTTACAGGCACTATTGCATGGTACTGAGTAGTGCTCAAACTCGTAATGTTGGAAGAACACAGGCTATCAACATCAAATTGAATACTAAGAGGCTTTGTATTTTTAAGGTAATACTTCATTAAAGTATGCAAAATCTTATGGTGAAATAGGCAAAAGTAAAATCTTATCTCAAATATGTTTCAACCTGTGAACTAAATGTATATCCCGTAATGTAGTGGGAGGTGGGCTCTAATCATTGCAGCGAGATCATACTAATAGGTTTTATCAAATAAATGAAAGATGAAAATCAATGTTCTTAACACTGATATAGAACAGGTATGTGACATGCAACTCAAATTTTGAATAACTGATACAGCCCGTCTGTTTCTTCAAAGTAACCAGTGGTTTGTTTGATTACATCTAAGTTAAAAGGTGTAGTTTTTTTATTCAATAATCAAGATCTTACAGGCACTCACTACAGTTATTGCCAGACGCACAGTACTACTAACATTAATGCCTGTAATATATCACAACGCTTTGGAGGGTCAGCATGATGCACTCTCCCCATTAAGAGCCTAATATGTGCTAATATGGAAAGTACGGGCATTGCAAATCAATGACTACAGCATGCGCACACTATATGTACATAGATCACGAACCGAGGATCATATCTGCAATATATACAACCGATATGCCTCAGGTAAAGTCTGCGCATGCCTCTCTTCAGAAAAGCCACTCAGGTTGCAAGGCAAGCATTTCTGCATTGCATTCATGCCACTTGCAGTGCACAAATAGCCAGCAGCCCCCCCCCCCCCCCCCCGAGCGAAAAAATTCGGGATTTCAACAAACCACAGAGCCTTCACAACTGTTTATGAAGATACAACGCACAAGAGGAACGAAAAAAAAGCCAGCCACCATCAATAGACAGATGGCTTGCAATAAAAATGAAGGCTTAGATAAGTTGACACACCTCAATCATTATCATACACACAGTGCAAAGAAAGGACCACACACTAGTTGGAGGATTCGTCACCATTTATAAACAAAGCCTTTTTCGCACCTGTTTGAACAAGCCGGTCTGCATTCATTAAAATATCGAAACAATATTACATGCTGGCCATGCTACCATGACCCATGCATGACGTCGAAATGCCCTTGGAAAGCTGACGTTTGCACAAAAAGTTAGTTGCTTCAAGACAAGCCTTTGGCTCAAACGCAGAGCAGGAAATTATGCTCGGAGGAAAGAACTACAACCAAGAACATCTACCACAAGCAGTGTTTTCCAGGGACCACAAAGAAAGATAACCGCTGACATCACTCTCGCACACCTCAATATTTTTGCAGTGCAGCAGCTATACTAAAGCAAAAGTGTTGGTTGACAATAAAATACACTGCTGAATTTGGCTTTGGTCATGAAGGACATTGAAAAGGCACCTAAGGTTAGAGTACCTTTATCAACCTAAGTGTAATTCATGCATGCACTTGGTATAGTACTAATAGTACTTTATGCATGCTATACTCTGATCATAAACTGATGCCACTGCCACAGCCCATTCAGGCAAAAGCATCATTTGTCAAGCAGCAAACGTACGTAAAACAACATGAGAACAGGAAAATAGCTGACGGCCAAGTCTTCCTAAACCAAAGCTATGCTAACATGCAAAATATTTCCACCATAGTGCCGAAATTTATACACGTTTTTTTTTTCTCAATGTGTGAATTTTAGTGCACACACAGGCTCTGCACACCATAAAACGGTATGTTTGGAAACACATCCTAAAAATATTCTGCATACATGGAGCATAGATTTTAAAAAATCATGTGATATTTGCAACAGCAACGGGATGGCGCGGGCCTCTACAAGTTTGCAAACAGAGATTAAAAAAAAATTAGGGAGCTTTTAGCCCAGCCCACAACACTCCAGAGAATAATTAAGTTGTCAATGAACAGTAATGACATAAAGAGATCCTTGCAGTTATGAAAATATCTTTTTTTGCTTTTCATTGATACACAAACAATGACTGAGGCAGTGAACTTTCCCAAAACTGTTAATTCTCCTACAAAAGCAAGAAACACTTCATGTAACTTCGTGGCAAGGATACATCCAAAGTGGGTGAGTCCAATTATGTCCCTACAATTCACTCTACTGTCATGAAAGTTCAAAGGCCAAAAACTTTCGTCCACTCAACCTAAAAGCTCTGTGTGACAGTGCTGCAGTTTCTGGCACTAAGCTGACTGAAGTGACACCTAGGGTGCTTAGTCCTCCCCACTAAAAGAAAACCAACAAGCATGAGATTAGCCAGAATGGACATAATGGCGCTATATTGCCTTACTACCACCAGCCTCAGGAACATCTGGGACAAAAGGTGCACTCTTGTGCAAAGTTTTAAAGGCGAGAGTGACAGCAAGTACAACTCATGATTCAATTATTAAATTCCAGGACATTTGCAAAGTCTTCTTGTTTACAAATCTCACACACCCTTAATTCTGTACACCAATAGCAGGTGCAATTGCAAGCACCCTTTCTTTTTTTCTTTATGCATTGAACTTTGCTTTTCATAGTACAAAACAAATTTACTGATGCATGAAGCCACACAGATGGTTATGCCAGAAAAAGTTTGAGGACTGAGCACAGTAAAATACAGCTGTACGCAGTATGTTTGCAAAAGCCCTTGACAGACAGGTATTCTCGCTTGGTCATAATATGGTATGGTGTACCACTGCCACCATATTATCACCACAGTTTTGAAACGCTCTAGGAAAGGTGCACACACAGATGAAACCAGGCTGAATCAATAAAGCTGATGGCATAAATGTTAACAAGCTCTAAAACACCATGTTCATGCACATCTGCTAAGTCAGCTGTGAAGTTTTCACATTTTCTCAAGTTTTCCATACAGCAGAACTTTCATTCATTATTGAAAGCATCTCATGGTGCTTCATTGCCACTTGTCTTTTACCACTTTGCACTGCATTGAATGATTTAATTTCTCCCTGTCTTGAGGTACCTAAGCACTTTTTGTCCTCGGAGTATATTAACTGTTCCTCAATGACAACCACAAATATTCTGCATAGCAGCTTAGCACAATAGACAGTCCTCAAACTTTTTCAGCGTAGATGTAAATATTGCATACCATCACAACAGGTAATATAAAATAAAAAGAAAGCAAGGAACTAAGGAACATTACAAAAAGTGGGACATAAAATGAATGCACTGACACACATACAGCTGTTTCTATATGTACTATGCTTTCTTTTTTCCTCTCTCTCTTTTTTTCCTACTTTGAAACTCTCACACGCATAACTTGCCCTGATAAAAATCCTTTTGCAAGGGACTAGTTCAGCCAGTGCAGTTGGCCAAATCGAAGAAACACCCAATGACGTAATCTCACACTTAGCTTTGGTCCTTTTAAGCAAAACGAGGAAGGACAGGTGAGGGCACGGCCCACATCACACTCATAATCAAAGCCATGTGTCCTAGCCCCGCTGCCCCAAGAAGACTAGTCGGGTGAGCGTGGACGTGATGGATGGCACTTGCTTCTTCCGGTCCATGTTAGGGTCACCTGGCACGCATGACTCGAAGTAAAGAGCAACACGGCGGCACACGACTGTCAGCATGGACAACAGGTCCGCAGACCGTGCTCGCTCGTGGAGCACCGAGCACAGGGCCTGTATGAACCACGAGCCTTGCGATGTATTGCGCCAGGAGTAGAACCCTAAAGGAAAAAGTATAGACAGGAGGAATGTCAGCCACGGTCTTCTCAAGGTGCTTTTCAAATAGCCAAGCAATAGACGCAAAACAGATGCGCTGTATTGTGCAAAAGCTATTGAACTATACTAGACTCACACTTCACTAGCAACTTAAGAAAGACGGTGATGCATACATAAAACCAGAATGCAGACTAAGGTGCAGTCGTATTATCAATACACATAATATAGGCTGCAAGAAAAATAGCAAAATAACACCGCATTTATTCGAATTTAGGCCGATAGTTCTTTTTCAAATTTCTTTGCATCAAGCTTCAGTGTCAGCTTAGGCTGGAGTATTTTGAAAATCGCGCCATTTTTTATTCAGAAAAGTGGTGCACAACTAGCTCCATCTAGACGGCATCATAGGCGTTAGTAGCCAAGCCAACACCTGGCTTAAGTACACATGTGTGATGCTGCTATTTTGATCATGTAGTTTAGGCGAGCCGTCTGTCATTTTGAGTCGTGCTTCGAGTGATCTGTGTGTGGTGTAGCTCAATGGCACCAAACAGGCAGTGTCATTATAGTCCCACTTATAAAAGAAAAGGTGTCCTAGCCGCGAAGTCGTCGTCCAACGCTGAAGCCAGGCGGGACCTCGAAGTGGACAAAAAAAATGTGCATTCCTGTAAGGGCTACAGCGTGGTTCGACAACTTGGGAACTTTGATTGTGCACTCTTTAAAAAGTACGGCATATCCAATGTGCTTGATGGCTCAGAGGATTGCAAAGTGTTTGAAGACAGCGACGAAAGAGTCAGTGATGAGAGGAGCAGTGACAGCGGCTCAGAATAAGCATGGCATCTTTGTGATGCAAATGACTAGATGCCGCGCGAAAAAAATGACGACAGAAAGCAAGCGCAACAGGACTTGCGGCTGTATGTTTATCGAACTATTTGCATCATGAACCTACTGCTTTGTTTCATCTTCATTTTCAACAAACGTTTTCTCTTTGTGAACGCTCTCTTTGCTGTTTGGTTTGGCCTACATTCACTGTAAGTTTTCTTTTTTTCCAGGTTTAAGACTTTTGGGGGTCAGTTTAGAATAAGAATTGGCCTACATTCGAGTAAATACAGTAATAAACAAAACTAAATTCTCCAGTAGAGATCAATGTCTGTATACGATTTTAAAGAAAGTGAACATTTATTTTTTATGGTGCTAGCTGCTAGCGATGTAAGGTACTAGCAGTGAGGCTGAGCTCTCTTGAACCAAAAAAGAAGTGAAACAAAACTCGGGAAAAAAAGTCAACAAGTAAAAATACCCAAATAAAATATGATAATGGTGAAATTTGATGGCTATAGAGGAGGCCCACACCATGGAGGGCACTGCGCTACCAGGCGCTGCTGGAGAATGTGAAGAGAAAACTCATTACTCCAGCGTTCGCCTCTCCACTGTCCCCTTTAAGCTGCCTTGAAGACACATTGCTTTGCTCGCACACTGCACGCGTTCTGCACGGTTTTTTTAGAATTTCGTGTCACGCACGGTTAGGATGTACACGCTTCTGGATCCGCGTTTAAGAAGATCATAACAATTTAAGATTTTTTTCCTGGCAGCAATTTGGTGAAAGGTCTGTTCAGCCATGTAGCAGATGTGGAGCAAGCGATAGCAGATGACGCCATAATCAATCTATAAAAACATGTGCGATGGCAAAATGCCTCATTAAAAAAAAAAACAATAGAGTAGCAATTGTGACCATCTGGTGTGCAAAGAAATATTTTGTACAAGAACTGCACGGAGATGGCTACGCATGAAAATTTATTTCTCAAACATGTTGCGTGCTCCGATGATTGAATCATTATTACTTTTAATGAAACATATCCAAAGAGTAATACGCTTGTTGTACTCGCTGTTAGGCATGGTGCATGTCTGAATTCGATAATAAATTTTGCACCTAAATCACGACCACACTGCAAAAGAAGAAAACAAATAAACAGGACGGGCACTTGTTACAAGACAAATGTGCTTGTTAATAACCACATGTTAATCTTACCCTTAAAACGTGAAGGATGGTTGCTTGCTAGGCTCGTTGGTGCATTTCAGCATATGTAACAGCACATCTTTCATCTTTTCTAGTTTTATCTGCTGTTACATATCTTCATACAGGTTGGTTTGAAAGTGTCAAGTTTATAATACCCTTTTCTCTTTGCTTTACTTCATAATTACGCGTGCGTAAAACAAAATTTTCCCTTAGTGTGAATTCAGGTATCAATAGAATGGGTGCTGGCTTGAGTCATTTTAGCACTTTCCTACAAAATGTCTGCTACAAATCACTGTTGAAGCTTTTGTCAACCACAAACTTTCATCGACGCTGGATATAAAAATTATATACAGTAAAATCTCGTTATTTGGACCGCCGTTAATTTGAAGTTTAGGTAAATTTGGCCACAGCATCTGGTCCCGTCCAAAATGTACATTGTTCTATGACTGAAAGCTCTAATTATATCCGACAAATTCGGTTGCGCTTTGGCTAATTCGAATGCCCGACTCGACGGGGAAGCAGCAGCGGATTCCGCCGGCCAAATCGACGGCGCACCTAAACAACTTTGGGATCGGATTGCAGCCTCCGAGATTCAAAACTTCGTCCATGGGTAGTACATCTCACAGGCACCCCCCCCACCCCCCAAAAAAAACCACATGGTGATTTAAACAACCAAAATGGAAGGCAGTGCATTGCTACTGTCATCAGCAACGACCAACCTATGGATTTGCCTTTCCCTTTTTCGCGCACGTCAAACACCTTTGCGTGACTCGCCGGTTTTTATTTCGTTTTGATCACCGTGCGTTTTTTTGTGTGTGTATGTGTGTTCAAGTTGTCCACTTTGTGCGTGCACGTGGATGACCAACGCGTGAGCGACGCCGAGATTGCTTCCCCTCCGTCTCCTGTGGCCCCAACCGCCCCAACTCCTGCAGCAAACAGGGTGAAGTATGAAGCAAAGGATTTGGCTTCGAAGGTGAAAATATTGAAGGCGTTGCAAGCGGGAGCATCCCCAAAAGAAGTGATGGAAAAATTCAATGTGAAGAAAAGCACGCTGAGCACTTATGTGAAAAACGAAGAGCAGATTATGCAAGCGTATGACGGGGACATGTTTGGCGAACAAAGGAAGAAGCTTCGAACGACAGCGCACCCCAAGCTAGAAGAAGCGCTGTTGCGCTGGATTGCCATTTCACGCGACGCGCGTTTGCCCTTCAGCGGCCCCCTTATCTGTGCACAAGCAGGGAATTTCGCAGTGACCATGAACATTGACTTCTTCAATGCGTCGGAAGGCTAGTTCGACCGCTTCAAGAAGTGACACGGGCTGGTGTTCTACAACGTGTGTGGTGAAAGAGGTGCGCTTGACGAAAGTGTTGTGCAGGGCTGGTGGTCCTGCACAACATTTACAACGCTGACGAGACAGTGCTGTTCTATAAGGCTCTGCATGACAAGACAATCGTGTTTCAGGGGGACCCGTGCTGCAGTGGAAAACGAAGTAAAGAGCACGTGCCAGTTCTTCTGGCTACTAACATGACCGGCACAGAGCAGCTGCCGCTGCTGGTGATCGGGAAGGCTGCGAAGCCAAGATGTTTTTAAAATATTAGGCACCTACCTGTTGAATACCGGTTCAACAAAAAGGCTTGGATGACTGCCGAACTCTTTCAAGCCTAGCTGCGTCGGCTCGACCGCTGCTTTGCGGCCAAGGCTCGGAAGGTGTTGTTTGTGCTAGACAACTGTAGTGCGCTCACGAAGGTGTCCGGGCTCGAGAACATTGAATTGCTATTCCTGCCTCCGAACACAACGGCTTCCCTGCAGCCGATGGACCAGAGAATCATACAGTTCATGAAAAGCCGCTATCGACGGCAGGTACTCGAGCAGATGTTGCTCTGCATGGAGTCGTGCAAGCAGTACGAAGTAGGCCTGCTAAGTGCAATCCACATGCTGACATACGTGTGGAACAACACACCGCCTGCAGTAGTCGCAAACTGCTTTACGCATAGCGGCTTTGTGCACGACACTGCTGATCTGGGGGTGGTGACCGATGAGGAAACCGGCTAAGAGCAAGACGGCCGCTATGTGACCATCATGCCAGCTGATGTGCCCCTGGGCGATTACTTCGCAATTGACAGCGATGTTGCCGTGGCCGGCACAGTGACCGACAGAGATATCGTAGCCGAAGTTTTGTACGACGAAGGGGAATCAGCCGACGAGGACGTAAGTGATGCTGACGAGCGTCCACGCCACACTAGGACCGAGGCTGCGCATGGATTAGCTGTATTGAAGGACATATGCATGCTTTCCTCGGATAGTGTGTGCGGACTAAGCCACCTGCAGGAACTTTGCAAAATTGTGACTTCGTCGCACATTGCGTCCATGAAGCAAACCGCAATCACAGACTTCTTTAAGAAATAAAAGTCTGATGGTGTAGGAGACATTTTTCAAGTGTTTTGTTCGTACTCGCGATAATTCATACTCTCGGTTAATTCGGACATTCTCTTTGGTCCCGTGAAGTCTGAATTAACGGGTTTTTACTGTAACTGCTCATCGCAAATGCCACGCATGTACAAAAGTTCAATTACTATGTCCCTAACAATATCGAATAATGGTAGCACCATAAAGATACATCTTCACAAATTTTCTATAGTGCTTGAAAGATGAGAGTTAGAAGTACTATTATAGTAATTTGTGCTTTTAAGCTTTTGTATGCTCATTGTGACAGTTGACGCAGCAGTGATTCTTTCCTTTTTGTCGGAGTGAAAGCGTGGTACGAGTGGTGCTTCACGGGCAGCGGGAGCTTCATAAATACACGGGAAGCAAAGGGAGTGGAGGCATCATAACGCTCTAGAGTTGTACACTTTTTCCAGCAGGGGAATGGCAAGCGCTAGCGTCAGCAGGCAAGCTTGAGCGGGTCTTCCCTATAAGAGACAGTGTGCCTCCAGTAAAGCACAGGTTGATAAAAAAAATGCATATAAACCCTGCTTATAAGAGACATATCATATAAAA